TGTTGAACCACAATGTTGCCAAATTGTGTCGACCTGCAGCTATATATACATATATAGACAGGTACACCATTAGACAACTCTGTTGATTGGAATAAAGAAGGGCTGCCAAATCGTGAACTTTGATGAAATTCCTTAATACATGGCAATAGCGCTGAATATGAGCCTTGATAAAAATATTGTCTCAGTCTAATGAGAACCTTTAAAAAAATTGATTCCTATTGGCTAATTTCTTCGGAGGGACATACAAGAGGTTTAAATGATCCCACTTTGGTCGTATGGATTTCAAATGTATTTTTTTCAGCAAATGAGTAAAAAAAGCACGAGAAAAATATACAGGGTGTTTCAGTTTATTCTTGCATAACTTTAACATTCGATAGAACTTTAAAATGCATAAGTCTATATAAACGAAAAATGCGTGGTTTCCGAAATACAGGGTGTTTAAATTTACTTTCTAAAATAGTTTTTTTTTTAAATATTTCGAACAATATTTGATGCATAACAGTGAAAATTGGTATACAAGGGTTTTTTGGTACGATAAAACGAACCATGGGCATGGTTTTACTGTAGCCGCTAGAGGGCGCTCTCTACTGTACCTGTAGTGTTTTAAAATGACCGAAAAATTTTTCTTATTGCAATTTTTTGTTTTTTGAATAAAAAAACTGATTCTTCGCACTTTTCAACATAAAAAAGCTCTCTTCGATGCATTTTTAATTTTTTTTTATACTCCAACTACCACGAAGGCCTGAGGCCTAAGCACCCATTGGGTACCGTGGGGCTATAGGGGGAGACATGGGAAAGGGGGAACGCCACACGGACTCTGGCGAGGGAACACGTGTGCATGCAACATGCACACATTCTGGCTCCGCCTACGAGATCCGCCGGGTGGTACCTCCGCGTTCGACAGTCAGAGACCATCTACCACCTACGGACAATCACAACATCCATAGCCAAGAGAAAAATTTCTCCTGGGACGGGACTCGAACCCGCACAGCGCACGGCAACTGTTCAGGAGACCGAAGAGTCTACTACTGCGGCCAGCGCTGCTGCCTAATTATTTATGGGAAAATAATATTTTTTTTACCTTCTCGATTTGGGCATTACAAGTAATTAAGATGAACGTTTACTCCAAATAAACATAAAAAACAGAATATTAATTTGTTTAATTTTCCAATGTTATTTTTAAATTAAATTAATTATTTACAACTAAAATGCTATTGGATAGTTAGGACAAACATACAGAATCTAAAGTAGTTGCACGAAATGTAAACCCAATTCTTCAATACACAATTCACATCTACGAATGATCGAACGTGGTATAGCATTATTCAAATAAGGCCTTATTTCATCACATGCATTCCTGATTCTGTCTATTAGCATATCTCTTGTGGTTACGGGAGTCTAGTACACTTTTTCTTTTAGAAATCTCCACACAAAGAAATCTAATGGATTTAGGTCAGGATCCATCTTTCTGGATAATTTTCGTTCAGCCAGTTTCTAACTATTCTCGAATAATGAGCTGGACAACCATCAAGCTGGAACCAGGCCAATCTTCTTAAATCTAACATAACATCATCCAACATATTTGCATGTTCAGCCTTTAAAAATTCCAAGAAGGTCGCAGCATTTAACCTTGCAGGCAAAAGGTAGTGTCCAAGTAGTCGATTACGGTAGATACCAATCCACACGTTCACACTAAATTCATGCTGAAAATATGTTTATTATGAAAATTTACCCCTCCACCTCTAGTGAAGCATCACTCATCGGTCCATAAAACGTTACTTAAAAACTCCCCTTTTTTATAAAAGTTACAAAAAAAACAGGTAAAAGAAACTAAATTTCGTGCATTCACAATTGCAAAAAAACGTTTCAGGTTTCAACAGACAACAAAACTAACTGTCAACTAATTGACGTTTAACCTTACTCTGCTTTCAATTTCAAAAATATTGGCACAGGCTACTTCTAAAAATTGTCGAGATACTGACTTTTAAATGTTATTTTATCATAAATAATTAAAAATGCATCGAACCTTAAAAATCGAAATATCTCAAAAACGGCTCAAAAACTATAACGAAAATTCACAAGAGAGCTTTTTTATATTGAAAAGTGCGAAGAATCAGTTTTTTATTCAAAAAGCAAAAAATTGCACTAAGAAAAATTTTTCGGTCATTTTAAGTCACTACAGGTACAGTAGAGGGCGCCCTCTAGCGGCTACACTAAGACCCATGCTTCGTTTTGTCGTACCAAAAAACCCTTGTATACCAATTTTCACTGTTATACATCAAATATTGTTCGAAATATTTAAAAAAACTATTTTAGAAAGCAAATTTAAACACCCTGTATTTCGGAAGCCACGCATTTTTCGACCCATGTTTATATAGACTTTATGCATTAATTTTAAAAGTTCTATCGAATCTTAAAGTTATGCAACAATAAACTGAAACACCCTGTATACTAATTGATAAGTGGTTGTAAACAATCTATTTCAGCCATCAATATGACAATTTCACTATGTTGGAAAATACCCCAATGAATGCCACGGGCACCACCCCGAATGAGACATGGTTTGGGGTACTATTACATAAGCTGCTCATGCACTTCTGTTAGAGGCAGTATGACGGCACAAAGCCATATCTGAGAAGTAAATGAAGCTTTATCTTTTTCTTTTTCTCCAAAATTTTCCCACAAGATAATTCCCATCCTCATATTGATAGAGTTACAATGAACTGCCTCAATAATGCTCAGGTCAGCCTCCATCCTTGGCTTCCTAGATCTACTGACTCGTAGTATATGGGATATGATGAGACACATTGTGACTCCTTTGCCTCATTCACAAAAATTTGCTGCTCTTCGTAACCAAGTACAGCTAGCCTGGGTTGTGATGCCTTAAGAAAGCAGTTACTACCTTCTAAGGAGGATGATCCCATCATCGGACGAATGTACGAGTATACTGCAACGAGGTGCCCCAACACGGTATCAAAGAAATCCAGCTATTCAGCACACGTTTTAACATCAAAATTTACTCATGATTTCGTCCTACTTAGGCCCAACTGGACTGGATAATGTAAGTTTTGGGACAGCGAGACACTGACAACAGATTCGTGATCAATGCGCCAGATATTCCCAAGAAACGTGCTTTGGTTGAGTATGCTAATAAACAAGATTTTTTGATAGTTTTCTCAGTAATCTTCCAATCTTCTCAATAAAATATCTCCATGTTCGCGAGAGACGGGCATCGTTGAGACTGTGTATATATGGCTCAGTCCAACGAATTTGGTCTAGGTAGAAAGAGTGTGCAAACGATTTGTTTGGAATCAAAATTAAGTAGCCAGTAGTCAGAAGCCAAGTTCATAATACAAGTCATGCTTAAGCTGTCAGCTTCTTAAGACTAAGTACGTGCTTTTTTGCGAAAACATAAGAGTACGCTGGTGCCATACAATCCTAGTGTTTCAGATACTGGGCAGTTTTGGGATAAATTTGATTTATTTCATTCCTTTTCTTGTTTCTTTCAGTACTCAGATCCAATTTAAGGTTTGGCAACTGAATGGTGTAGTGTTGTTGGGTTAACAACATTGAAAAATGCAAAATGTTGGTAGACAAAATTTTTTATGGATACAGAAAAGAGCCAACCGAAACTTCAACTTTGAATCACAACCAATTTGTTTTTGAATACAAAAGTTATTACGCGAGATGAAAGAGTAGTAGTAATTTCACGTTCCGATTTTAGTACAATGCGATTCTACTGATGAACCTCAGTAGGCCCCAAAAAGCTGTGGATATTAAATCAACTAAATTGCTTCCAAATATTTTTATTGAATAAATACTACAATGGTTTGATTGTAGTAATTTCCATATTATGTTCAACAAGATATTTGATTTTAGCCAAGAATCTGTGAAATTCAACCAGTCCCTCGCGCATTTGTTTATTTATTTGTCACTCCTTTTTAGCAATAACTGAGATATTTACATTGCAAAACAGACAGTACTTCTGCCATGCTGAACATGAGTACACGCAGTACGATTGGCTACTTGAATATGTTCCAGAGAAAAAATTGCATTAAAACCATATGATTCCCAGTACTGGAACAAATAGAAGTGTATCCCTATTTGGGGGTTGTTATTCTAGAGACCGTATTCTACTACCGACAGTCGAATCTTCGTCAACGGAAACTAAAATTTGAAGTCCCCTATCTGTAGGATTCCTCGTTAATTAAGTTCAAGTGTAAACCGAAGCTTAACAATCAGCCATTAAAGCAGTCTAACCAGCCGCCGTTTCCGACGCAATGGCGCTTTTACGGCGTGCACTTAAGTGCGCTAGATTAGGGCTGCTTCTTGCTGGAAATAGCAATTCTTTTAAGTCTCCTTTACTGCCATCGAGATCTCACGCGCAGAACTTGTTCCGAGTCATGTTTTGCCTGAGGTCGATGTTTTAGATCAACCTCTTAGTCCGGTCGACTCTGCTCAAGATAGGAAGATAGGAAGAAATTATGCCGTTTGGACTAGATTATCGCCACTATCGCAATACAGATCATCACACTAACGGTTTTAACTCAGCAACTAAAATATATTCATCGCTCGGTATAGTTTATGGAATTGAAATTGCTCCTGGTATAAGAACAGAATTAGGTGGTTTCGGGGCGGAATGTTTAATATTGCCATCTTTCTGAGAAGAGTTGGCGATTATTGTGGAATGTCTAAGCTAAAGGCTGCTGAAACAGGATCCTTTCTAGAAGACCAATGGTTCGAAGTAGATCAGTGACATAACTGACAATTATTTGTCACTCGTGACCCAGTTCTCCACATTAAAATAGCTATGCCAAACGGAAGCAAAAAAGAAAATAGAAACACAAGAAATGCTGAAAAAGAAAATGAAAAGTGGAAGATGTGATAAAAATGAAGGACTATACAATTCACGAACAAGATTTGTTAATGGAAGGATGCATATCTGCAGGTGAAATTAGAAGAATTACACATTACAATAAAATAAACTAAAACATTTGCAGATGCTGTGAAGTACAGCAAAGAAAAGGTAGTAAATCTAGATGAAGACACTGACATTACTAAAGTTCCCGCTTTATCTAACACGAATAAAACAGAAACACATTCAGAACCGGGTAACAGTCAAAGATATAAACATTAATAGAAATTTGGTTAATTCTACAGTACAACCAGAAAAGACAGTTAATAAAACCAAACGATAAAAATCAAAACTGTTTACACTCAAAGAAGGTACTCTACAAATATGTAAATCCTGCAAAAATGAACGTGTCCATAAGAAAAATAAGCGATAAAGGAGATGGGGCGGTGAATATTGAATGTAATAATGTTGAAGACATCACAAAATTGACGTTAGAAGTAGAAAAACATGTAAGACACAGTTATAAAGTTAGTGGCTGGGCATAGGAAGTTACCAATGATTAAAGTCGTAGGCTTCTGTGGGGAACTCGAAAGAGCTGGTTAGAGACGTGAAAGAAAGAAACAATATTATAAGCAGTGATTCGATGATAAATGTAGTGGCAATTAAAAGATGGAATACAGATATCAGGCAATTCTGGAATTAGATGAGCAAACAATTAAAATAATTATGAAAGAAGGTTTACTATTTGTATCAATGGATGTATCTACAGTGCTCGAGCATTATGATCTCCTGGGGTGCTTTAACTGCTCAGGACTTCACCATACAGCTAAGCACTATACAAAGAAGAGTGTTTGCATAGAGAGTGGCCATCAGTCCAAAACCTGTAAAACGCCAAAAACTGGTCTGAACTGCAAGGAATCAAATTTGAGGTATATTACAAATATTGACACAAATCACACACCGTTCAACAAAATATCTAGAACAACACAACTGGAATATGAAAAATCAAAAAATAAGGCTTACTATGGAGACAGATCATAGCAATTACAAACAAAACAAGCTGTAAACTATATATACCACTTAAAAACTCAAGGATTATTGTAACATAAAGATGAGGTTTCAAATTTCTGGGTGTTAGAGAAACCACTAATACTTTGTTTAATAGAAACACATATAACAGAAGATATATCGATATTCACGGCTATCAAGTTGTAAAAGTAAACTCTATTTTGAAGCATACAGGGGGTATATTGGTATATACACTATATAGCATTGAAGTCAAAGTACGGACCATTGAAATTGTTGAATATCAGTGGTGGTACATTAATCTGAAGATAAGGATACAAAAAGATTACAATCTGTATATTTACTACCGATCTCCAAGTGGAAGCGTCAATCGATTTATTAAATTTTTTGTAAGTATATGTGAAAAACATTATTACAGGAACTGCACAAATGTACATTTTGGAGACTTCAATATAAATTTTTACAGCGAAGATTCCTATGTTAGAACATTTAAACAAGTACTAAACTTCCACGGATTACGGCAGAACGTAAATGACTATACAAGTATTACGAACAAAAATAGATTTGCTCATAACTAATGAACAAAATCTAATTGCTGAAGTTAAGCATACCCTAAAGATAAGTGATCACTCATGGATATATTTCGAAGTGGAAAATATGTTCAATGAAAATAAAATGAAAAAAATTACAGTAATTGATTTCACAAAATGTAGAGAAACACTTTTACTGCACAATATACCTGAAATTATCGATAATCCCGACAGCTACTTCGCAACAAGTTATGAATAATATGGATAAATATATTAGTGAAGCTATGCTGAAGAAAATAATATATGAAAGAGTGAACCCACATCCTAGTTTTCATAGATATTCAAGGAGTCCAAATTAAAACGCGATGGCGACTACAGCAAATGTTTAGTAACCCAAAGTAAAAATCATTGGAACCAATATACAAAAATAACTCTAAAATGACGTGGAAAACATTGAAGAATATTGTTACTCTTGGTAGAAAGACACGATTATCTAAAATGCGCTTCGAGGATGGGGCGGTGACAGAAAAATTAATTATAACAGAAAGAATGAACACTTTATAGAAAGTGTTAATCAAATAGTGTAGACGATTGATGACGGTAATCCAAACTTATGTCCATTACAAGTGTGTCATAATTCATCAATGAATCAATTTAGGACAACTAACATCAACAATCTAAGAAAAGCAATCTCGCAATTGAAATATAATAAAAATCCAATTGAGAACCTCTCAAAAAATATTTTAATGATTGTTTTAAATAACTGGAGAGAAATTATTATTATTGATGAGTCATTGTTTAGTACATGGTGAAAGTGAAAGTTCAACATTCTCAGCTGTATGCAAATATGCGACCGATTAATGTCTTGCCAGATCTCGAGAAGCTGTTCGTAGGGATAATATACGAACAAATCATTGAATTCACTGAAGAAACCAAAATTTTGACAAAAAAGCTGGATTTATAAAAAAATGTTCTACAGAAACAGCAATCCCAATGATGGTGGAAGACTGGAGAAGGAGTATACGTATATAAGAAAGAATGTATTGTAACAGTATTTTTAGACTTCAAAGGGGCATTTGAGACTATAATATGGGGAAAAATTGCTAATGAAATTGTATCGTCATGGTTTTAAAGGATCAGTATTAAACATTTTACAAAATTATTTAATAAATAGAAGTCAAAAAACTAAAGTTGGAAATATTATGCCAAGCGTTCAAAATATATCAGTAGGGGTGACGCAGGGCCGTTACTATTTATTTTTTATATATATACATATATATACTATATAAATGATATCTCTGACATTTTAGAACACAGCCAAATTCAATATTTGCGGACGATACATTGATATATATATATATATATATATATATATATATATATATATATATGTGTATAGCACATAAGCATTTGTAAACTGCTTTAGAACCGTTAAATAGTGATATTAAAAAAACTATGAATAGGTTAAATGTCAATAAACCTAAATTAAACGCTAATAAAGCAAAATTTATGTCAATAGGGAAACCTTTAGGTGACAATACAATTAGGCTCATGACCAATAACGAAAAAATTGAAGTAGTTGAATCATTTAAATGTCTTGGTATATATGCGGATAGTAAACTACTGTTTCAGGAGCATTATGTATACATTATTTAAAAAATATCAAAATAAATAAATTACTTCTATAGAGTTTCTCATAATCTTAGTATGTTGTCCAAAAAAAAATTGTGTATAACACTATTCTTTCCTATTTCTTATATTGTTTAGCCATCTTGTTTACTGCAAATGAAAATATATTTTCAAAATTACAAATTCTACAAAATAAAGCTATGAGAATCATTTCAAATAAAAACAAATGTGCTAGGATTTATTCTATGTTAGAAGAACTACAGTGGTTAAATGTGGAAAATTCCATATACTATTTAGTTCTCGTTTTCATCTTTAAATTAAAAAATCATTTATCACCACTACATTTCGAAAACTTCTCAAAATTAAATAGTCACTATCATAACTACGAAACTAGAGGCAGTATAGAATTTCATCTACAAATTGTAATAGTAGCATAACTCGTAAATCTATATTTCAAAAGGGAGTATTTGAATTTAACAAATTGAATAATGTTATTAAACAGTGTTCGAATTTAAAAATGAAATTAAAAAATCACCTTATGAATAATCAAAATGCATAGTGATGTAATTTTAATGGACAAGAATGTGAAATTACAGAAAATGGATTGAAGAAAAATATGTAACCGAATCATTATTCAAAATTGACATTGTAACATTAATGCTAAATAAATCTTCAACAAACAAATAAACTAAGAACGAGTCGTTCCAGGGGAACGATACCACAGTAGGAAGTGGAGCAATCGATTCCGATGATCTTGAAGAAATTGTTTCAGATTTTTTTGGTTTTCACGATTCCTATTCCGGTGGCTCCAATTCCTGAAACGGGGATCAACCGTTACGATACCAATGCTTAAAACGGAATTGTACTTGAACCAACTGCTTGAAAAGAACGATACCGCTTGGATTTGATTATCGCCACTATTGCAATGTACGAGTCGTCCCAGAGACACTATACCACATAAGCAACTTCTGTAATAGATTCCGATCATCTTGAAGGTACTATTTTGATGGTTTCGACTCCGATGGTGTCGATTTCCACGGTTCCGATTCTGGTGGCTTTAATTGATATTAATGTAACGGTGATCAACCCTTGAGATATCAGTGCTCAAAACGGGGTTGTACTTGAAATAACTGCCTATGATTGCCACTACGCAGTAGAAATCATCGTGCTACCCATTTCAATTCCAGATACTCCGAATGAGTCGTTCTAGAAGAACGATACCGCAGAAGCAACTGGGGCAATAAATTCCGATGATCTTGAAGCGATTCCCACGATTCCGATTCCGGTGGTTTTAATGCAGACATTCCCTTATCAGAACCAGCTAAAAGTCTTGGAGTTGTACTTGATTGTGAACTCAGGTTTAAGTCCCATATAAACGAACTGTTTCAAAAAACGTATGCTGTCATGGAGCTGATTTATGTTAACAGAAATGATTTTTCTAAAAAAAACGAAAATAATTCTATGTGATAGTCTGGTTCTATCACTGCTAAATTATGCTGATGTTGTATATGGTTTCCATATAACATGTGTGTATAAACAAAAAATTCAAAAAGTACAAAATTCTTCTATGGTATACGCAGGTCAAGCAGAGTCTCACTCAAATTATATGATGTAGCGTGGCAAAACATGACGGGTGTTGCATGCGGCTTGTTTATTTCGTAGATTAATAATTACAATATATCCTTACAATATAATAAAATTTTGCACCGATGAACACGCTTTAAATGTATGATTTAAGATACTACTGTCTCCTCCTAGGTTTCACCATGAATTTTTTAAACGACGTTTCACCTACCAAATTTATAGAAATCAAAACATTTATTATTGTAAAATCCAAGAACAATGTCAAACGGACATTATTTAGCACACAGAGCTGATTATTCTATGAACATTGCAAGTTTAATATTTATTATCATTTTTGTTTAGTGTATGATAATTATGTTATTATTAGTTTTGTTATATTTGCTTTATGCGTTGGGTTGAATGTAATATTATTTAACACGGTTAAGTGGAACAACAGATGTGTGTCACATCAGTGGCGGACATCTAAACCTCCCCCTTCGCCAAACTCTTTTTTTATACAAGTTTATGTTTATTGGTTGATGTTTGGCGAATAAAAACGTCTATTATTATTATTAAATCCGATCCCTGAACCGAGGATCAACCGTTACAATACCAGTGCTTAAAATGAGGCTGTACTTGAACGAACTATATGAAAGAAATGATACCGATCGGACTCGATCGGACTAACGATTTTAATTGTCTCTCGGTACGATGTCGCAAAAGCAGCTGGAGTAATCGATTGGGATCATCCTGGAGGAATTGTTTCCGATGGTTTCAATTCAGGCGGCGAAAACCATTCATTTCTGACCCCACTAATTGTCACAAGAATGTGCGAATCCAACTTACCCAATTCCCATTAGAACATCGGAAATTGTTCACCGTTTATATTCCTCAACGCCCCTTCCAACCTGTTTCATGCTGCAATCCCCGTGACCATCCAACGTCAAGATGTACCTACAGCCCACAGGCACTACAGATAGTAGATCGTCTGTAATTTTAAATCTTAAAGTAAAAAGCAATATTTGGATCGCAACAGAAGTATACCTTTCCAAAAGTTCATTAAAAAAAACACTGGACTTTCGTAAGTGCTGGTATCGAAACCGTCGAGTTCGGGTTCAGGAAACGAGACCATCGAAACCGATAATCGATTCCTACAGCGCTTTTGTGACGCTTATTAACACCGACGATATGTTTCGGGATTGCGAGAATTGGGATCGGAAGCAATCGACATTGAATAGAATCACGCATGAATCAAAGGAATCGGTACCGAGAGAGAAATCAAAACCACTGGATCGAATCGGCAAAAAGAACGA